GTTCCCTTTTTCCTTCATGGGGAAAAATAATCTATCATTGTCAGACAACCAACATCAGGTATTATAGTTAAAAATTAAACAGCAAAACTCTAACATATTTTAAGCAAAAAGAATACGCGAGGACATCATGGGGAAATGGTACAGTGTCTGATGATCCATRCTTATCCAGTTACCAGTTAAATCCATGATACTGTCCCCCATACAATTCATTACAGTGGGATCTGTGGAAGTGATTTAACCATTGGCTTACTGACAGTTTGACTCACCTYTCATGTTGAAAAATTTGTGCAAAATTATAATTCCAAACTGCAGCAACCATTTTCTAAGAAGCTTTCTCTTGTAGTGAACATTAGTGATCCTGACCTTCTTACTAATACAAGATTAAGAACTTTTGTCTAGTTGAGTAGATAAAATTCTTAGYTTTTGAAAGCTATTAGGTTTTTCTGATACAGCACTAAGAATAGGACATGACCCACAATAGTTAGACCTTCTTTCTCTGGTACCCTTATGACGGTATACAACCAAGTCCAGGGAAGAAACTGAGATGAGACATTTTGKACTGCGTGTATTTCTGTCCATCATGCAGTTTAAAACCTTGGTTARTGCAAAGTATTGTCTTCTATTAATATCAAATAATCTGCAAAAATTTGCTTGACATCTAAGACTTGTTATTCCTCTTTATTTTTAAGGCCTTATTTGTTTTCAGTTCACATTTTCAGTCTTAAGGGGTCAGTTTGTGTARTATTATTTAACACTTAGTTCTTCAAATATCTTTGCTGTATTTGCTTTTAAGAGCATTTTACCTACAAAAGTGAGTGCAAGCACACTTGAATCTAGTTTCTGTTTCTGCCAAACATCTTAGTTTTGAAGCCCCTGCTGATAACCCTTTTTATCATGTAAGGTGATATTTACAGTTTTTTATTATTTTATTCAGTGATTAATTATCAGCTTACTTTTTTCCTGATAATTTTCTTGATGCTCTTTTTTGTGAAGTCCACCTTCATTTTAGTGATACAGTATATTGAAAATGAAACTAAGAAATGTGCAAACAAAACCAATTGTCTTTCTCTCTAACAATACTGAAACAATCTCTGTATTCCTTTCTTTTAAACTGTTGAGCAGAGTTGTGTGTTCAGGGCCTGCTCCTACAGAGTTAWTATCAAGGGGAAGTTATTACTGAAAAGGACAGCTAAGGTGCCTCTACTATATAAAATTGGACACAAAATTATGAAAATCATTTTATAGAAGACCACAAGTACTCTTCCTTTTATCTGAAAGACCAACAGAATTCTTTTTCACTGAGTCATTTGGAGCAGATTTCCTTTGAGTAAATGGAAATATATTGCTTAGTTTTTCTCCTTGAAGAGATTGAATGCAGTTTCATGAAATTACTTTTTTTATTGAAGGTTRTTTTTGATTGAAGATCGTGATAGTTTCTTTTGGGAAAGCTAAGTGGAGTTTTTCTTGGGGAATATTTTTTTTTTCAGACAGAAGAAAACTCCCTTTTAAAAGTAGTTTTCAGTAATTTGTGGCCAGACCTTCTTAATGATACCTTAAAATCTCTTCTTTTTCTTCTTAATAAAAATGGAAAMTCTGGATATGAAATGGTATCATGGTTTAAGCCCAGCTGGAAATGAGGCGGTTGCTCTCTCAACTCTATGTCTCCTGCCACACACCCCACTGGAATGGCGGGGGGAAACAAAGTTAAACTTGTAGATTGAGCTATGAACAGTTTAATAATCAAAAGTAATGTAAAAACAATAATAATGGCAAGTGATTCTAAAAATGGGAAAAGAAGTGCTGTACAATACAATTGCTCACCACCCGCTGACCAATGTCAGAACCCCCTTCCTGAACCCAGACTGGCTRTGTTTCTAGGTAGCTCCCTCCAGTTTACATACTGGGCATGAGTTCTATGGTCTATCCCTTTGGACACTTCCAATGGCCTGTCCCAGCTAAAATCTCTCCTACTTTATTTTGCATTCCTCTTCAGTGACAGAGCATGAGACAAAATAAAAAATGTCCTTACTTAGCAAAACCCAAAACAGCAGTATATTATCAATATCACTCTGATTCCAAACCCAAATCACAGCACTGTAAGAGCTATTGAGAAGAAATTACTCTATCTTAACTGAAACCAGGACATAAAGTTGAGTTTTTCCTAAAATACCAAAGGTAGGGATATTACTGATCTAAAGCTTTGCTACAATAACCCTGATAAATTTCCTGTCTCTCTGGAGTACTCTTCCTGGAGTAATGAGATCCAGCATCTCTTTGCTTTTGAAATGGCATTCCTTTGGAGTAAATATCAAGCTGGAATAATCACAAAAGCTAACAAAAGAGTGTAATTAGATTATTTTGGTCATCTTCCAGAAAATGCAATATTGTTTTCTAATGGATGTTGTCCAAGAATATGTCAACTCACTTCTAAGTCTCTGTCAATTCCCCTTGGGAGCTAATTCCACTGGGAGTTTAGTTACTTCATTTAACTCTTTTGGGATTATGCTTTTTTTTTTTTTTTTTTTTTNTTTTTTTTTTTTTTTTTAAATTTTGGTTTTGAAGATTTTGAGGGACCAATCAACACTCTCTGCAGAGCTGCTACTTTAAGGTTCAAGTAGGGGATGTGGAAAGGGAGCAGTGAGGGGACCACCACAATGTATCAGGAGAGTCTGTTTCAGCTCCTCTTTATCCACCCTTTGCAAAGAAGACAACAAATATACATGCCCAGAGCCTTCTCTCCTGAGGGTTGAACAAAGCCAGMTCCCTCAGCCTCTGTTCATACAGCGTGTGCTCCAGATCCCAAATACCTCACTGGATTCCTGCTGGTCTTGTTTCAGCCTGTTAATTCCTTTCCTGTGTGGGGAAGCCCAAGACTGGGCACTGCACATGGAATGGCAGTCCCAAAACCTGAGATGAGATCAGTCACTTCTCTTGACCCGCTCTCTGCACTCCTGTATATTTTAATTTAACATACTTTAATTTAGAGTATTTGATGAATAGGCATTGATTACTGAGTAAGCAGCTCTTCTTTCTAAACTGTAAAAAAAATGCAAATGTCAAGCATCTATGTATCTGACAATCACACAAACCCTAGGAAATTAGATTCATGGATATGCTGTAATGAAGGATWAAAAAAAGGTTCCTTTTCTATCTTGGTTTCTAAGTTTTCTTCCATTTAGAAACATTTCTGAGAATCAATAAATTCCTATAAATGTATGAAACTAGAAGCTGACCCTTTTAGAAAATAACTAATGCTAGAAAAACATTTAATCACAGAAATGTGAGCCTGTGGGAACTGGTCATCGTGCTCAAGCAAGTGGGAGAAAGTATGTGTAGTACRAAATGAAGGAATATATGAATATCAATTCAAGGCAATTTTTCTCTGTCTTTGAGACTGATGTAAATATTGGACTTTCACATTACAGCTGCTCTATTTTTTTTTTTTTTTAGTAAAATTGTCATGAGTAAAGAAGTAAATCTGAATTGGAAATGAAATTTGAAAGCCTATGAGATATATGTTTTTTTATAAAAATATTATAATCATGACAGATTGTATCTGAAATATATTTGGTAAAGAAATGGCAATTATTGATAATCCCTGAGCTTTCATGTGGTAATTATAAGAAAAAACATCATGAGGCCTCTTTAAAAAAAACAATAATTACATTTAATGGTCATTATGGCAAACACTGTTTTTATGATTCCTTGAATTCAATGATCAGTAAATACAATTTGTGCTTGCAACTGCAGTCCACACTTCACCTCTCTGCTAGTTACCAATTTGTCTTCTTTTTCTTTTTCTCTTTGTCTGAAAGTGCAGGTATTCCATGTAAATGACGGTTGAATCTTAGCAAGGAGAGTTGATGCTGCTGTCACTGTTCAAATACAAGAGTGACAGAAAAAGCCCAGTTTCCCCATTTACAGAGTGGAATTTCTCATCATTTTTTTTCTGGTTGCTTTTGAAAATGAACGGAGCACTGCAAATACAGCGCAAACACGTGGTGTTGATGGAATACACACCAGTAAACACCCTGTCAATGGCATTTGATACATCCTAGGATTAACTTTACACTGGGGAGAACCACGTTAAAGTYCACATCTTTGGTTTTCTGTTTATTTGTGCCCTTTTATAGGCACCCAAGCATCATGAAGTATGAATACTAACTAGACAAACATTCATTGTATAAATTCACAAGACAGAGCACTTCATGCTCCAGCAGACATATCATGTGTACTTAACTACCTAAGGTGTGCAGTGCAACTCTTGCTTRCTGAAACACATCCAGGTCATTTGGTTGGAACTTATTCTGCCCTGTGTATAAAGTGAGGCCTAAAAATCAGAGTACTATGCAGTTCAGCTACAACTATGGAACCATGAAAATCCTATCACTTGGCAGGTGGGGATGGCAGGTGGGGAAAATTCCTTGCAYGATTTCATAGATATTTCCGCAAAAGTTAGCATGTCCTCAAAGATGGCAAAAACCAGCAARTAAGATTAGAGGTTGCCCCCCACATCATGCAATAAAACAGATTAGGCTGTCAGTAGTTCAATTTTATCTGAGAAAAGCTGGGCATATTTTTAGCCCCAACTCACCAGATGATTCTGTAAAGGTGTTGAATGAGACTTTTACCAAAAATGTTCCCAGATTCTGCTCTCCAGATGTCCCAGAGATCTTCAGATGAGTTGAAGAAATGTGTTCACATTAATTTCAGTACTYCTACACAGTTCAGTTCAGCTGGCAAACACTCCAGAGGAGAGATTCTGTCAATGAAAACAGTTTTTTGCAAAGAAAAACTAAAATTACATTCATGTTAAGTTTTTGAGATCACTAATGGCAATTTGATTTGTGGTTAGCAGGTCAACAGGTAACCTCATCWGAATCATCATCAGAGTTTGTTATTAGTATTTTGTTTGGATACTGGTAATTAGGACACCTAACTAAGACAAGCTTCTAATTTCTGATTGCTTGTTTCATCAAAGTACCATTCTTTTTTAAAAGGTGGGGAGCATTACCTGACAAAARTGGACAGAAGCAGAAGTTCTGGGTAAGTGAATCTTTTGGACAGTGTTTTGAAGCAGAAGAAAAAAATCTCTACAATACAGATAATCTAAAAGCTACTTCTTTCCTTTCAATCACTCTCTCTGCATCTATTTTTTTCCTTTACCATTGAGTGTCCTGCATAATRCTTTTCCCTCTCTGGCAACTTTTATCATGCTGACCCTTGAACTATAGCATCACCTACTTCAATTTCAAAGCCTGTATCATCCCACCCATATCTCTGTTTTTTCCTTCACTGTGATTTCTGCTCAAATCTTATGCAAATTTTCAAATGATATTATAATTTTCTGTGAAGACTCAGTTCTTTCTGATGACTGTAAATAAAATTCAATAAAATTAATCAATAGTATTTTTAAAAATATTTGGAAAAGAGAAATTTTCTATTTAAACCATGTTGAAATTGTTATCCAGCCATCAAAAAATCCCCCCAAAAGCTAAAATCAATCAAACAAAGAACATTTCYTTTATGCTGTTTAGAGTAAATCAAATTTTATTGCTTAAATTATGACTAACAGCTCATGTTATTATTTCTGTGTTCATCARAAGGTAATTTGGTGCTTACATAGCTGATGGCAGGGCTTTTTGTGGTAGTTTCACTGATATCAAAGATAAAAACTGAGACTAGTGAGATTTGATCAGAGAATGATTTACTCAATGTCAATAGCTACCTGAATGAAAGTTCATTTTTTTAAAGTCAGCTTATTTTTTTTTTTAATATATCTTTGGTATGTCTTTAGCAGATTAGTTGTAATTGGAATTTTGACCATTGTCTCAATGACTGCTTTCACCTGCCATTTAATGATTTCTACTTCAATTTATCAAATTCTCTTGTAGAAACACTATTCCATTTTTATTAACTCTGATTTTGGACTGGGTATTTTTGATCAAACCAAAAAAGAAACAAATTATTTGAAAYTGGAAAAAGATGCATGTTAATTCTCAGTGCACTCAATCTGAGAAATTGTTTCTTAAAAAGGAAACTAACACAAAAGATTAATTTGGCATTTTACTACTTGCATTTTAAAATAATACTTTAAAATTAAAACGGTTTTTTTTTTTCTGTTTTGTTTACTTTTAGATTGCTGCAAATTCCTGGGGAAAATCTTGGGGAGAAAATGGTTATTTTAGGATTCTACGTGGACGAAATGAGTGTGATATTGAGAAGCTGATTTTAGCTACTTCAGGACAGCCATAGTTCATCTGTACTACACTCTGCCTGATGTATCTATTCTTTCCATTGTTGCATATTGAGTCTTTATAGGGAAATTATAATGTCTTCTYTTTAAGTTACCTTTCTATTAGCTCTTCTCAGGTCTTGCTGACTTGAACACACTACATACATCACAGCACTYTTGGATCTCTGGTGCAAACGTCCCTTCAGACTAAAAGCATGTTGTATCCATGACTACTGAAAATCTTGATGTTTCAGGGAGCAGGAAGTTCCCTCCTGATTGAACAATACCTGAAATAAATGGAGTTACACTGTWAGCATTAATCTCTTTACAACATATACTCCAATCAGAAATGACTTCAAAAATATTCTGTGCTCTTCCAAATAAAATTGTTTCAGGCAGCTCATGATCATATTGGATAATAAATTCCAAAGAAATGTAAGTAGACTTCTGATCCTGTAGCTGAAGRATTATTTCCTATACACCTTACTTACAACTAAGTAGATAAGTTGTATCTATGTATYAATATCTCATCCAGGAAATTAGATTTTTTTCTAGTAGATCCCACAACGTTGATGCATTCAGTGTAATACAAAAATAACTTGCAGAGAAACAGTGTGTTCCTGTTCCTGCAACCACAACCAAAACTGTATCATTTTAATAATGTTTTAATTTAAATAAAATAAAGAAGAAAATGTTATTTCTCCTCAATTCAGTCTAGACAAGACTAATTTCCGAACTATTTGTCTTCCAGTCTCTGTTTAACCTGAGAACAGGCACGTGTCAACCTTCCCAAAAGTCTGTTTCAAATAGAAAAAGATGGAAAAGACATTCGATTGTTTGTCTATACTGCAATATCTGTAATCCAGGTGCAGTTCCTGGTGCTGATCATCAAGTGCAAATGAGACACCCAGAAATCCTAATGCTTGCATAGCTTCTGTCTGAAAAAGCAGCTTTTTGACCTACATGTCCTCCTATAAGTATTGCTGAAAGTCTTGACAGGTTTGAGGACTGTTTTGTTTAGTTTTTAATTAAAACATAGTTATCGCAACTATTGACACAAGAATAAATCAAATATTTTCTACTCCTTTCAATTCATCCAAAGGCCAAATGCCAACAGGAATAAAATTATCTATGAAAGAAAACAAGGCACGTTAAAAAACTGGGGTGGGGAAAGCTGGAATAAAATTTCAGTGAATGAAGAATTTCCAGGGACACCTTCAGTGTATTTAATAGAATATGTTCATTTTTTCCTAGAATAAGAACCTGATTTCTAATATCATCACCAAGTTGCTTCAAGAACTTTTATGGTGGTGGCATTACAACAGGCACCCTTGCCTCTGAAATAACATCTCTTAAACTAAAGTTAGGTGACAATTTATATTGCATCACTACTAAAGGAGCAATTGTTAAAATGTCAGTACCATACTGCAGGACCGCAAGATTTCTGTGGTATCTAGTGTCATAKAGTAATCTGMATTTAGACACAAAACCCCTTTATTSCTTGAAATTTGTAGCCAATTGTAACACAAGCAATTTTAGAAGCTCTAAACGCTCTGAGAGAAATAACTCTTCTAGTTTTAGTGAGCTAAGCCAAACCTGAGAGGAAAGTGTACTGAATCATCTGTACATATCTTCCCCAACCTCTTGGTTTGTATTGATTCCATAAATGTCAAGTCCTCAAAAAAGTAGAATTTAACTTTGGCRTGAATGACACTGTAGTCATCCCCCTCCCAGTAAACTCGAGGAGGGGGTAGATTGTTCAATTCACTTCAAGTGGTTTGCACTGCTGCAGCTTTTAGTTTTGACAGTGGCTGTTGCTGCTCCTGATTTGCTTACGAGGTCTTCCTAAAATCTGTGMTGTAATGTTAAGCTTCTTCAGTAATGACAAAAGTCAGAATTACTTTCCTAGATCTTTACCTGATCAAATGGTCACCATGGCTTGAAGAAAACAAATGAAAGAAACCCAACTATATTGAAGCAATTGAATGGTTTGGAAAATGGTACCACTTTCCCCACSTTCTGGAATTAACCTTTTGTGACCATACCTTTCGGTTGTTATATATATGGAAAATGCTAATTTTCTGTTTTTCCAAGCGTATAAAAATGAGTGTCTGGTATACTGAAGGTAATACATGAAGACRTTTCAGATGGCTTTAAGTGAAATTMATTTAAAATTAAAATGGCCAACCAGCCACTAAATGAATCCAGTTATTTTCACACTATTTTTACTTTTCTTGCCATCCTATTATTATGGAAACTTCATTTATTTGCTAAATGATAGCAAATCACATTTCAAAGTTTTCCACAAAAAGCATTATCAATACCTGGTAATATTCAGAGTAATTTTGTTTATATTGGAGTGCCTGGCAGATGTTAAAATGCTGAGGGCCATTGCTTTACTGAGGAGACCGAGTCACAGGCCTCTAGACCTGGCCTCAGAGATTTTGCTGAAAGAAACAGGAGATTCCTTTCCAACTTACTAAAAATTGCTGCACACAACTTGGCAAGACTAGCTTTTCCCAACTATTTAAGTTTGCTCATCATCATTAGAAAGTCTGAAAAATTGGTAACACKTGCCAAATAGGGATTTTAATTTCATTTCACTATTTCAGAACCATTCATGTKGAAAATTATTTTACACAGCCATCATAAGCACACTGAAGCAAGGTATTTCTATTTATTCTAGTTTGCCAAAGTAGGGAGCTAGTCGGTAACCTACAGAAGGCTAGCTCCCCAATCATCAAAAYTTGACACTATTTATACATTTTAACAAACAAAGGGATCCCCTTTTATGGTTTAAAAATTACACAGTTTTTTTGCTAATTGGTACTCAATCCCTTATTTACTAGCTATGWTCCTTGCTTCTTCTCTGTGTAGGTGGTCAGTGGCTTGGTGGTCRTGATCTGCCCTGCTCAAATTACCTTTCCCCCAGTTACTCTTCAGTCCTGCTGACTTCACTCCTGGTGGCTGTTGTGCCGACAGCCCATTAATTTTGGGATTGTGTTCCCTTTTCCTTGTAACRAAGGTYTATACAAGCCTACAAGTTTTACAGTGCACTTTATCATAACTTCTTAGGTATAGCTACACTAACAACAAAAACAATCACAAAGTTTGGTTTAAATCCTGAAGGACTAGACATCACCAGTACAGTGTTGTTTCTACCTGCCTTTAGCTGGGGGATGTAATATGTGGCTTGGATTTTGCCTGTCTGMTGTTTATTGCCTGTGCCTTTCCCGAGGAGCCTGTGGTTAGGAAAAATTATTTTATTTAAGATGGTTGCTTTGTCCTGGATGCCCAGGGTGAGATTCCTCAAGAGGAGGTTCCCCTGGGCATGCTGAAGTTAGGGGAGCGTCATGGCTTCAAGCTGGCAGTCAGCACTGGGACTCAAAGCTGCAAAGCTTTCTGTGTAGTTTAGTACAACATATTTTATAGGACTGCAACCTGAAACAAGAGGAAAGAGAGCTGCCAGGGATATAAGGAACTAGAGCAGGGATGAGACAAGACCTGAGAACAACAAGGCGACTGTTTTCCTGCAGTTCTGGGGATCATGGAAGGTTATCAGACTAAGAGCAAGCCTGAAGAAAGGAGCTACACTTCTAGGAGTCAGAGAGAGACATGTTTGTAAGTCTTTTCAACTTAGTGTTTTACTAGAGATGCGACAGGAGCTTGCACCTGGGCACTTAATGCTGTATCTACCATTTGGAAACTGTTTCCTGTATGAACTTACATTTTTGCATCCATTCCTCACTTCAAGGACCAAGCCTTTATCAGGATGGAGGCTGTGTCTCTGCCTGAGTTAACTGCACATTGTGATATTGCTTTATTCTAAAGTTCTCCTATATCCTCTCAGTTAAGATATACCCATATCCAGTTATTGTGTTTATTTCCAGACAATGCAGAGCTTTCCCAGTTTCTTAAATTGTCATGGTCCCRTGTGTTGTTCAGCAGTCACCCCAAGCCAAGAAAGATGGCAGAGGTCAGTGACTGAGGGCTGCAGAGCAAGCACCTCTGTTTCAAATAACTTTTAGTTAGGGCATATTAGAGACAGAATGAATGCAATGAAAAGAGTAAATTTTCTCTTTTCTTTATAAGTCTAGCTGTCAAATACACATACCACAAWACAGTGAATGTTATTACTTCATCTGTAACAATTTATTGTCATGTCTGGAAATCTTCATCATGGAGCAGCACTGTGCAAAGCTGTTCCTGGAGGAGGCAGCTGAGGGAAAAGCCTGAGGCAGGAGGTCAGACTGTGCTCACCACTGAAATCCTCTGTCCTTTAAAGTTTTTGGGGCTCTTGAAGCCATGGACTGCCCCAGGSTCTATATGAAATACTTTAGGCTTATCTAGATGTTTCACTCATCTGTACCAACAGTGACAGCCACATAAAAACATAGACAGGAACTCATTAAACTATTGCCTTAATACAAGTGCAATTGCAAATTCATTGCAAAACTCTGAAGACAATATTTTATTTCTCACTGCAGCAAAACAAGTGTAAAAGCACAAATATAGTTCATTAAGCCTACCAAATCACGATACACAGCAAAATGTTTTACCATAGAAAAATTTCTAGAAAACTTATGTGTAGAAGAAAAATATTTAGCCCTAGAGTGCTGTACAGTCATACTGTGAAGGACTCAGCGGTTGGTCCAAGTTCATCAACAATATTGCTATTCTGTTCTCACTCRGAATCATAGAATTGAAAGACACCTTTAAGATCATCAAGTCCTAGTCCACATTAACCTAGTACTGCCAAATCCTTAGCATGCACCCTTAAGTGRCACATCCACAGGCCATTGAAATACTTCCAGGGATAGTGACTCAACCRTTTCCTTGGGCAGCCTGTTCCAATTCTTGAAAAMCCTTTCTGTGAAGAAATTATTCCCAATACCCAATCTCAACCTCCCCTGGCACAATTTGAGGTCATTTCCTCTTGTCATGTGGCGGAATAGACTAACCCTTCACTTTGCAATAAGGTGCCTCTTGAGCCTCATTTTCTTCAGGCTAAAAAATTCCATTTTCCTCAGCCTTGCAAAGCTTGAGCTCAGTCAAAGGGCTATTCTTCGTCAAGATACTTGGAAGCAGCCAATCAAGGACAATCAAGGTTTTAGAAGCTGCACATCTTTTTTATTCCACACAAGAAGTTTTTAAGAGCRCTGTGTACTACTAGCTAGCAGGATCCACAACATGTGAAAAAGTATTTAATGYGTGACCTCAATAGAACCCAAATTGCAGACGTTTGTGAAAGTATTGAAGTTAGAAGAAAGGCAAAAAGGGAGGAAGAGGAGGGAAGGAGAGCAGTGGTTTAATAATTTTTTCTGGTTTCCACCAGGTATGGAAGCAAAAGCTAATTGTACTTTTGTCTTGGAAACAAAATTCAGCAAGTTTTACAGGGCTCCAGCTCATTTTAAAGCAAAAAATCAGGCCATTTTTACGGATTTTTCAGCAAGTCTGGGCCAAACTTTTGACAGAGTTTAAAGCAAGAATTATAACCTTGTAATGCTTTCASTCCACCCAGTCTGGCACAACACTCACCCCTGTTTCACTCTGATTTCCTTGGAAAATTATCCAAAATCAAAATGGACT